GAGTGTAACGGTTGTGGACAAGGCTCTCCGTACGACTCTCTTCAGCTCTGCAACATGACAAAAACATCTTTGAAGAGAGTGTAATAATGTTATGGGCCTGGCTTACCCAGTGTAGTACACTAGCAATGAGCTTGTAAAGAGAGTGAGAGAAGAACATTATTTTCTATTAACTTGAAGAGTTTCTTAATTATTTGTAAAAAAACATCATTAATGAAATTGCAAAAGGATTCATTAGCTTATTTACACCAAAAATTGGTTAGTTTATATATTCAAAAGTTGAATTATTTACATAGATAGAAGAAAAGGAGTGTTCACTGTGTAAACACAACATTTGTAACTCTTTGCGTCAAATACCAAATTATTTTTTTATTCAACATCATGAATGGAACGTTGTTACATTACTTAAAGAATATATCAGAAGCGATTTTGTAAGTACCTTTCTAAATCATGTTTTGTAAAGCATATCTACCACCTTTCCTTCCATGCAAGCAGTTTGAGTTTGTTATGAGTCACTTAACCTTAACAATGATAGCTGCAGCATTTTTCCCTTTTTCCTAAGAATGTTGTTTCCATAAATTTATGAAAGTATTGTTTTCGTTTACGGCTGGTTTTCAGCCTCGGAGAAAAAGAAACAAAGTCACTAATAATAATAATTTATTTTATTTTTCATATGGGTTTTAATGATTTAAACTTTTGTGGGAACCGAAAGAAGTCTCGGATTTCTGCTAAACCACATTCCAAACACTCAGTAATATGAAATATAGACGAGAATAATAAATAAATAATACGAAAAAGAGAGCAAAATAAATCTTACTCTGGATTTTTGTTCAAGCGTTTACATGAGGTAAAAGCCCCGTACACAAGATCTGTTGACGAGTTCCCTAGTTCTACCAACCTAAGACAGTGAAAACCTAACTGAACCGCAGCTCGGTAACAAAAACGGAAATATTGCCTATCGATCTAAGTTCTAAGTTTTTTGTGTGTAAAGTTCTCTTTTTTTGTGCCTCTCGCTCTAGCTTCTCTTTTATACTCCTTATAGGTCGGTTTGCTCTCTTCTTTTCTACTCCTGGGTCAAGTTTATTGCTTCGCGAAAATATTCTATTTTTCTTCGATCTCCATAATTATTCCTTGAAACTTGACATTTATCCTCAAATTTTGACATTTATCTTCTCCTGCGACTAAAGGATAAACCATCATAGAATTCATGGGTTCATTCTCGTCTAAATCGCAAGTAGGCTTTTAGCCACATTTTAGACCTTTTTGAACCATTTCATGACTGAGAGTTTTTACAATTTCTTTGAGAAATCACCTCTGGTACGACGCCGATTTTATGAAAGAGTTTAAATAAATTGTATAGTCGAGGCAGATGTGGTGTTTTAAGTTAACTGTTTCCGTTCTATACGATCACTTTGAACTTATACGAGAAAACAATTTTTTTACGGTTTTTATCGTAAAGTTTCAGCGATAACTCCAATCGAGTCGAAACAAGAGATAATGTAGTCATGGCCCAAAGGATATAGCTACGAGGAAAAGACGAGAGTGCATGATATTGATATGATTTGGTCGTAGCCGCCATATGGCGAGTTGGACAAGGCTGATTAAGCTTGCCATATGGTGAGCCTGATGAACTGACCCAGCTCGCCATATGGCGAGCGGATCGTGATCGTCCCAGCTCGCCATATGGAAAGCGGGACTGAGCCAACTTGCCATATGGCGAGCGGGTTGTGATCGTCCCATCTTGCCATATGGCTAGCAGGACTGAGCTGACCCAAATCACCATATGGCAAGCGGGTCGTGATCATCCCATATCGCCATATAGCGAGCATGACTGAGCTGATCCAACTCGCCATATGGCGAGTTCGGACTAGGCCATGCACAAGTCATGGCCTTCCTCAGGTGATTTGTACGGTTGGGAAGTGTTGGTAAGCAATTTCCCTATTTCGTCGCTTGTTTCCCAGAAAATATCTTTCGAAGAGATTGAATCATCTAAATCGAGAAATCTTCGTATAATTCTTTTTAAAATTATACGAAGCTTTAGTTTCGAACCTATACTCAATTTTTAGACGAGAAATATTTTCTGGGAACTTTCAGGCATTGATTCCATTGTGACATATATTGACCCCAACAATCACCAACTATTTTTTGATCGGATGGAAAACTCCAAGTAAAACTTTATGTTTTTAAACCTTCAACTATAATGCTGTTAACCCTCCGTAAACGAAATCATGTAGACTCGTTAAATTGAAACGCAACATTTCATATAAGAAAAGACATGAGATGCTTACAATCAGCATACATTTTAGTGATTTAAACCCCCAACTATTTTTTTTTTAAATGGAAAATCCCCAACTATAAGTTTATGTTTTTATCTTTCAAGTATTAAACTTTTAGTGCCTTTAACCCTTCGTAAACAAAGTCGTCTTTTTTGAACATGGACACTTTAAACTAGATCGCATCGTTTCATTTATTCACATAAACCACACGAGATGCTTAAATCCCCCTTTATCAATGGGAATGGACAATCACGATTCATCCCAAAAAATAATTAGGATTCTTCATTTTCAAGAACTATAGAAGGTGAGATAAGTAAAAAAAAACTCTATTGTTTATATTTCTTATTCTTTCTTTTCTATTCACCTTTTTGATAAATTCTAGGTAAAATTTTGAGTGTGAAGAGATGAATAACCTAGGTTACTTATATTCTATAATTCACCTTTTTGATAAATAAACGAATATGAGATAAATAATTAGTACACCATAGCTTTTTGACTTATTTTACTTTCGATGGTTCTTGAATAGGAAGACGAACCCTATTTTTTCTTATTTGGGAATAAATTGTAATTGTCTCTACTCATTGGTAGAAGGGATTTTTAGCATCTCATGTCGTTTTTGTGATTAAAAGAAATGCTGCATCCTAATTTAATGGTCCCATTCAGAAGATGGCTTTGTTTACGAAGGGTTAAAACCATTAAAATTTTGTTAGTTGAGGGTTTAAAAACATATAATTTTAGTTGTGAGGGTTAACAACATTAAAGATTTAATAGTTGAGGGTTTAAAAATATAAAATTTTAGTTGGAGTTTTCTATCAAAGTTAAAAATATTTGGGGGTTTAAATCACTAAAAATCTTCATGTATTGATATAACATGTAAGTTTAGTTTAGCATCCCATAATATTTTAAATAAATAAGAAATCATTTAGATGATTTAAATTTGATTTAATGTTTTCAAAACAGGCATATGATTCAAATAGTGATGCTATTTCTTTTATAGTTCCTCTTTCTTGGTTGGTGGATTATTTGTATGCACTTTATAACATTTTTAATTAATAAAGTTATGTTGTTAAAAAGAAAAAAAATGCCCATTTTTAGATCAATAGCAATCGCTAAGACTACACACATTCGTCATTTCAGTTTAGGTTTGGGCGTTCGGGTATCCGAATGAATTGAGTATTTTAGATTTTTAGGTATTTCGGTATAAAATTCTACAACATGTTTACATTCGAATCGGATTAGGGTAATTTTAGTTCCAATTTAGGTATTGTTAGTTTGAATTCGACTATTTTAAACTGGGTTCAGATATTTTTGATTTTGAAAATATATTAAATTCTTCGTTATTCAAGTCTTTTTGAACGACACTACTGAAGTTCTTATACTTAAAAATTTACAATTAACTTAATTGATCTTTTTAATTTGTTAATAGGTTTAGAAACAAAATTTTGAAAATTGAAATACACTAATTTCATTGTTGTTCTGAAAATTTATATGCAGGTTTTTTTATTGCATAAAATAAGAAGTTTGACAAACATTATAAATGAATAACAAACCACTTTGTTAGCAACAATATGTATATTACGATTTTGAGCCATGTAAAACATAAATATACATGTTTTGAATAAATGTAGAGAAGTAAACTAGAAATATATGATCAAACATACATATGTTGGGTTTTCTATGGATATCCGTTTGGTTTTAGATTTATGTTCGAGTTTCGTTATCCAATTTCTCCTAATTTAATATTTTGTTTGAGTATTTTTCTACTTTAGATTTTTTTTTTTTTTGATTTTATGAGTCGAGTTCGGGTTCGGATTTGGTTTCGGAAATCGGGTAAAATGTCCAGTCAAATTTAGAAGGCCTAGCATTTGGCCCATTTGTATTAAGTGTTATTAGAGTACAGACTTAGCGGGCTAAAGCATAACACAAAAGCCCACTTAAAAAGGGGCAATAATTAGTGATGGGAGTTACGGACTCGTAACTTTACAGAACAAGGAGTCTTTATTACTTTATGGGGCCGAACATCTTTTCAAGCAGACTAAAATGTTATAAATGCAGCTTTTTCTCTTTCCTTTTTTTTTTCTAATATTTGGTACACCGTAACACGACTCTACGAAAATTCTTCCTTATTATAACTCCTCCTATATACATCATTTATATTTTGCTAAAGTTTGGTGCATATACATCATTTTTCTATAACCGTTTGGCTTGACTATCTTGATAAAATTAATTTGGCTGTCGTTCTTTATCTGAACAGAACATTATATCTATCTATCTATACAAGTTAAAACATGTATTCATTGATTACGACAAAACAAACCACAACATACTCTTGCTTGATGTCGAACACATGTATTCGAGATATTACTTCTTGTATAATACAAAAGATATCCCAAAAATGGAAAAAAGTTAAATACATAAATAATATCATCTATTAATATCATCTTTTTAAAACTCTTTTTAGCTTTATAGTACCACGTGAAGGAATCTAATGAGTAGATTATGGCCCCTGCCTTGAACGTAGCCTTAGCAAACTGTTCAAGTCAAAAGCCACAGCAAAACGCCGCTTAAAAGGTTGAGCCATGGCAGTTTCCGTAGTAAATGGATAAAGACAAGGGTAAAATAGTAAATAAGTGTACTCTTACGTCACGTGCGAGCCGAAACACGGCACAATTGGCAGACCGACCACAGCAACCAAGTGGTGGTTAGCTTCAGGTTTTATGTCCAAACAAAACAAAACTAAAAAGCTTTAAAAGAAGGCAAGTGACCGCGGAGATTGTAGGATGGCGACGGATACGCAAGCGACGTTGTCGATGGAGTCTTTACCTCTCGGCTTCAGATTCAGACCAACCGATGAAGAACTCATCAATCATTACCTGAGATTGAAAATCAACGGCCGTGATTTGGAGGTCAGAGTCATCCCTGAGATCGATGTTTGCAAGTGGGAGCCATGGGACTTACCTGGTTAGCTTACTCTCTTCTTCTTTTGCTGTTTTCAAGGATTAGAGTTGAGAAATGAAGGATAGGAGCTCTGGTTTTTAGGGTTTTCTTGGTTTTCTTGATTCTAGGGCTTTCGGTGATAAAGACGGATGATCAAGAGTGGTTCTTCTTCTGTCCTCGTGATCGGAAGTATCCGAGTGGACACCGCTCCAATAGAGCTACGGACATTGGATACTGGAAAGCTACGGGTAAAGATCGAACTATCAAGTCCAAGAAGATGGTTATTGGTATGAAGAAAACTCTTGTCTTCTATCGTGGTCGAGCTCCTAGAGGAGAAAGAACCAACTGGATTATGCACGAGTATCGTGCCACTGACAAAGACCTTGACGGTACTGGACCTGGTCAGGTCTGTTTTTTTTTTTTTTGTCTTTGCTCTGCTTCTTGTTTGATATTAGTGACCTCTTTGTTTGTTGACATATGTTCTGTTTCTTGTGGAACAGAATCCGTATGTTTTGTGTCGCTTGTTCCACAAGCCTAACGATGTTCCAAACTGTGACGAAGTAGAGAATGTCAATGCCACTCCCACCACAACTAAAGGCTCTCGTGAGGACAACTCTTCTGAGATGGTCCAAGAAACAGCTACTTCTCGTGTACATGCTCAAAACATATCAGATGACACCGAGAGGTGTCCAAGCGACAAGGGAAGTGATGTCAAGCCTGATGATCATCCAATGATGATTAAAACTGAGAAATCTGTTGATCATGCTGAAACTTCTCGAGCCAAAGACCGTGTTTCCGGAAAAAGCATACTAGAGGTAACAAGTATTTTGATCACAGTTTTTTGTTAATCTATAGCTTATACTTTCTTCTGTGTAGGAAAGTCCATATGCGCGGGACTTTTCAAGTCTTTATGGACCCAGCTTTGCTCAAACCGGTGACCAAACATACACTCCAGCGCATCCAAACATCGGTTTTCCTGCATCACATATGGATTCTATGTACTCTAGCGATTTTGGAAACTGTCATTATGGGCTACATTTTCAGGACGGTGCCGCCATACAAGATGAGTCCCTGGCAGATGTCTTGGATGAAGTATTCCATAACCAATCATCTAGTGAAGCGAAAGAGTTTGCACTTCCCAAAATGATGCATTGGTCGTTTCCCAGAGACACCTTTGGTTTTGTTAACGGGAGTGCTGAAGCCGCTTGCCCACAGCCACAGGTAATTAAGGATCTTTTAAGCTGATGATTGATAATCACTTACGACCATAGTGTTTCTTCATGTACTGCAGTTTGTTCATGACTTTGGAGCTTCCAGATTAGCCAGTGATAGCAAGGAGACAGTAGAGATACAGTCTTCATCCGGTTCCTCTAGGACCGTGACACCACTTCATAGCAACGTTTTAGGGCAGTATCCTGCTGTTTCTTATGCAACTATGGATTCGTTTAAATCTAATGTCAACCAGCTTGAGCAGTCATCCTTTCAGCCACACCCTGTTGACCACAACATTAGTCCCAGTGAGTTTAACGCTAGGGCTGGAGAGACTCAGACGGATCTTGACTTTGTTGTGAACCAAGGCACTGCTCCTAGAAGAATCCGGCTGCAAATCGACCAGCCATTCACGCCGGTTAACAACAAGAACGACAGAGATGTAGATAGCTTTGAAGAAGATGAAGTGCAGTCTGCCATGTCCAAGGTAGGATTCACATGCCTAGCAAATATTGAGCTACACTCTTCCCTCTCAATATAACCATTGTTGAAATGTGCAGATCGTAGAGGAGAATAATGAACAATGCTTCTTTGACAAGGACAAGAGTAAAGTACGAGGGCATGCAAGTTTGTCGGACTCAGCAAATATAAGGACTCAGGGAACTGCTCATAGGAGAATCCGCTTGCAGACAAGAATACAGAAGCCTGCCTTAACACCAAACAACACAGAAAGGGTCTCAAACCACAGTCGAGAAGAAATAAGTCGTAGCAATGTTGTAAGTTTCTATTTAATCTCTAGAAAGCAAAGCATCTAATATCGACATGGATTAAATAAAAAAGACATTAATAAGCTGGCTGAAACAATTCTAGATGCAGGAAAAGGAAGAAAATGTATCGTCTCCATCATCATCATCATGGCAGAAACAGAAGAAGCTAATGAGGAAGAGGTTGGTGCAGTGTAGCAGTATGGTGATAATAGTGGCGGTGATAGTTGTTTTAGCAGGAATATGGAAAGAGTCGAGAGATGCCAAATGTAGCTTCTTGTTTCATCAATTGGATTCCTCCAAAGGCATGCTTACTTGATAATATATAGCGCCATACTTCCTCTTTTTGTATAATTAATCATGTTTAGTCTTTTCTTTTGTTTTTTTTTTTTTTGAGTGAATAAAAGACAAATTCTCTAGAATCATTAACAGAGTAGAGTAGTTCTTAGCTCTCCGTCATCAGGTCGATCTTAACATTAATCAGATAAGGGTTACCATATTCTTAACATCATCGCGAGAGGATTCTGTTGTCTTAATAAACTCCGACCATCTTTGATCGGATCTTATAAAAAATCTGATACTCTCCTCTTCTGCAATAAACTGTTAGATTCCATTTGCTTGGGATGGATTCTTAATTTATTCAACGTTATGCACTTAATCCTTTTCAATAAGAGTCAAACTTTACTTTCTTATGAAAGTCGATAGGCTCTTACTAAAGTATCTTAACAAAAGGAAGCAAAGGTAAAAGATTGATATCCGAGTGACTTTAATGGAGGTTTAGTAGAGCTGGCGTCTTCTTATATTAAAGACGGCCCAGCAAAAAATCTCTTGTGGGTCAATCCGAACTATCTAGGAGTTATAATCTGCGGTAGATGGAGATCTATATCCTCAAGCAAAGGTTGGAGCAGAAGTGGGGTAAGATGGTTTTGGAGCTTACAAAGAGGTTTCCATGGAATTTACGGTGATGAGAAGCAAAAACGGAGGGTCGGTACAGAAAATTCTCGGCGGCCAAGCTTGCCGTCTCACATGTCCGACACGTCTCAATAATACGTGTCATTGGTTTCTTCAGAAAGCGGCACGTGGGAGAATGAATAGTAATTAGAAACCTTAAGGAGAGGGCTTGTTCTTTTGATTGTTAATAATGTAAGAAAAACAGCCCAGTCGTAAGGCCCATCCGAAAATGTATGCTACGTTTATAGTTAAAAGACAAAAAGATCAGAGACATTCACTTGTAATTTTTGTGAAATTCAGTACTAAATGTATTTCAGTTTTAACAGTTTAGATATTCACTCTTTATATCAAATTATAAAAACATACATCAAATTATAAAAACACGTATCAAATAACAAATCATGTAACAACTAACAAATCATTTATTAAAACGGTATATCATTTAACAAACCCGTTACCATATTGTTTAGAATTTATGTACATGATTAGAAGTTACTTCATTTTATTACTTGATAAGTATGTTTTTCTCATAAGGAATTTATCATCTAACAATTTATGTATTGTTTAAATTAAAACTTAGAATAATCTGTAAATTTTCAATTATTGAGATACTGCAGTTGCAATCTTTAATTCATTTCTTAATTTTAATTCTGGAAGCATAATGAAAAATTCATAAACTGAGACATGGTTGAAAGAATGAGATGAGAAAGAAGAGTAGACTGACAAAAGATTGGTCTTTGGAAATTAATTTTTGGTGGTTGAAGGATTTGGAAAGAAAAACCACATATGTAACAAACTTTGGTGGAGTATCAGATTTTTCATCTAATTGATACGAATTTAGAAAGAAAAATTGATAAATTAATCTACTACGTGTCGAGAATTGTACAAAAAAGACTTGCACAAAGATTGGATCAAAAAAAAAAAAGCATATAAAGCAAGAAAAAGAAAAATGAAGAAGAAGAAAGTAGGGAAAAATGGATCAAATCTTATATAATAAACTTGACTTTGGTCTCTTCTTATGCTGCCATATCATTTTTGAGTATAAGACAATTTTCACCACGTGGCATGTCAAAAATGTTAATCTTACAAGTGATTGTGGTTTTTTCTGTGTGGGCCTTTATGTTATGTTTTCAGTTTAGCCATATATGTGTAATGTGTTGACTTTTGGGTTCTACAACCATGTTTAGTACAAGCCCAAAAAAGGCTAGGGTTTCATCATCTTCATCTACCGAGAGATTCATATGAAGACGCAGCCAATAAGCTCTCTATAACGTCCAACTCCAAACTCCATGTGATGAACAACACAACCTCTATGAAACCTCGAAGAACAGTCTCTGCTAATAACCAAATACGTCAGTGTTGAATTCGGTTACTCTGGTTGTTGTTTATAACCGCCGGTCTACTCAGATTGTTAAGAAAGGTGGTCAACTCATGGGTTGCCATGCTTCTCATGGACGAGCAGGTAACTACTGTGCAGAACCACCATCTTCCATTCTATATTACACACCTCTTTTTAATCTTTGAAGGTTGTGTTTATTTCAGTTTTTTTTAACAACATAAAAAGCATAGTTTTCTTTGCTTGTCTCAATTGTTTGTCTGCATATGGGTCCGTCGTGTTTGATTTTCTGTTTTATGCATATTTAAAGAAATCATTCTAACCATTTAGATAGTACAATCTCAATAGTATACGTGAATATTCGACGGTTGTGTTTCTTTTAGTTTTAGATTTTAATAAAAGGCATAGTTTACTATGTTCATCTCCATTGTTTGTCCGTTGTGTTTGATTTTTTTTTCGTTTTATCTTGCATATTTAGAAAAAATAATTCTAACTAGTTAGATAGTAGATCTCATTTCTTCCGGTTCCACACTCACGACCAGTCGTTGGCGTAAGATGATACCAAGAAAGAGCTACCTGGTAATCTTTACTTCTATATACAATCTTCCGAATAAGAATCTTTCACTGTATTTACTGACCTTACTTCTATATGCAATCTTGCGAATAAGAATAAGAATCTTTCCACTGTATTTACTAACGTATACCTTAAAATTTACAAGAAATTCTTGGTGAGCTATGTGTAATTAAGTGTACAATTTGCGAAGGGACACAGTGTGTAATACTGACTCTACGGATAGAAAGGTAGCATTTAGAGTTTAAAATCCAGTGTTCTACATCTCTTACTACTTTGTATGTTGTCGTATTCTCCAATTTTTTAATTTCATTGCTAATTTACAGGAATGTGAATGTGTGTGTTAGTCTGTTCAATGGCTTAGCTTCTGTATTTTTATAACAAATTTGAAAGCTACGGGTCTGAGTCAAAAGTTGTGTTGGTCACTAGCATCAATCCCAAGGTAGAGGTGAGATTCTGATAATTTGTAATATCTCCAGCAAAAACACACAAATTTATCCGAGTTCATAGGATTTATAGTGTTCTCAGACCAACATATCACTCTATAAACTAACTTACCATCATGCATGCCGGTTATATCTCAATGGCACTTGCGGAATACATATTTACTTCGACTCTGAAACTGCTGTTGATCAAGAACTTTTTGAAAAGTAAGTAACTCTAATACGTATAATGGATATGGAAATTTTAATATGCTCTAACTTTCATGTTTAGCTTTGTAAATAAAATATCTCCATGATTGCAAGGTGCAGGTGTGAAAGCTCACGTAGACAACAAACTCCTCCAAGTTTTTCACTGTTATTGTGGGCAAACCTACACTTTCCAGCTCAAGCAAGGAGAGTTCAACTTCACTTCCAAACATTACACCATTTCCCGTATCGCTACTGAGCAACAGTGTGCACAGCTCCCAAAATTTGTCATACATGTTGGTATCTTTTCACTGATTTAAAATATAGGGCTTCATGAATATTATATTTTCAAGTTTGTTACTACAATATACTCAGGAAGATAACCATGGTTCTGATGATGATAAGCCTGAAGAGAAACCAGTAGAACTAAAGGGTTCTTCTGGTTACCAAAACGCTGTTGCAGAGGTAGCGGGTGGTGTGACACCAAAAGTTAGAGAGACAAGAAATGACAACCATCAACCATCCTCATCTGTTGTACCAGCAATCGTTCGTCCTGCAGCAAGCAGTCTGATACTTGATCGAAATGAGACTGGAAAGAAGGGGCGCAGAACATGTAAAAGGAAACGTTCCACTACATTCTCCCTTTCTAAAAGTATTTTAGCATCACTTTCGAGTTATTATTGCAAACTTATTTCTTCACATAGCTTCCTCTTTGTTTTAAGGCTTTCTCTTTGTTTTTTTTTTGTTTTTTATTTTTATTTTTTGAAACAAGGCTTTCTGATGTCACTCAAATGTTTAACCTAAGGAGTGATTTTACTCTCTCAAATAAGAGGTTCAATCGTAGCACTTAGGGATCGAATCCACAAGGAACTAGAGTCACAAAAGATATAATCATAAGTGATTAAGCTAGGTTGAAAAAGGTTCAAAACAATAAATAAAATAAGTAGAAATAATAAGTTGCTAAGGAAAATAAGTTTTGGGTTTGAAAACAATGAAGAGAAATAGTTATATTCAAGGTTACTATTCAGAAAATCAGGATTATAAATCTATGGATGTCTTAACGAATTGCTTGCAAATATATGAGAACTTCAACCCTTAGACAAATCTATAGCTGTCGCTAGTTAGACTCGTCCATTGATCTGATTGCCGACTGCATCGATCGATGTTGCTATCGCAGTGTCGATCGATATAAGCTGTCGTCGATCAATAACTCTAGAGGAGTATCGATCGATATTAAGTATCAGATCGGATCGAACTTTGTTCACCCGAGAATTTCTATCAGACTGGCTGTCGCATCGTGCCTTAATATAGTCTGGGTTTAGCCAAATGATTTCAGAAAGATGACTATTAGATTAGTCACTCCATAATCAATACTCTAGGTAGCAAGTCTAGAGTAAGCATTAGGGTTCATTTGGATAATGAATATAACAACTCAACAATCCATAGTTGGGGCTAATCCCTTATAACTATTTGAACTCCAAATCTAACATATGAATATACTCAGACAT